TGTATTAGCATTCACATAGGGCTACCTAGCTTCCATATGTGCATGCAAGGATTTGCATAGTGCATATGTATAAATATACCTACACCTAACTTTAATAATCAGGCCTTAGATTAAAATATAAAGAAGTTTAAAAGTATCATGTAATTTATTCAGCAAAAATTACAATATTTATTTAACTTTGCATTTTCCTTCCCATTTACGGTGAAACTAACCTGGTCCGTTAAATTTTTGCAATTTTCCTTGGGATTATATGAAATGAGCTTTGAGAACATAAAGATTTTTCCTGAAAATAGATGTGTTTTCAAGTGAAAAATTGAAATTTTGCCATTTTTCTGGAAAATTAACCTGTTTTACAAAATCACAATGAAATGTGAAGTTTTCAGATTTAATTGCAAATATTTTACATTCATAATTCTATTGCATTAGGATTCCAGTTGTGTATAGCATTTAAGTGCATGTTTAGCCTCAGGTATGTCCTTAACTCCATCCCTATTCAGCACAGCACTTAGGTATCTGTTTAAGTCCAACTGAAGTCAATTAACCATTTGAGATGAAGAATGTGTCCTATGCTGAATAAGGATGGATGTAAATAGGCACAGCTCAAGTGACAAATACACGGCTAATTTGGGACCTACTACAATAATGCAGGATTTGAAATGGGAAAACCACAAGGGATGATTAATAAAGTAAATTAAAACTACCTTTTAATCTTTTAACATCATAGATTTCAGATAATATTGTTGTATCTCTTTGTTTATCAAAATCTGCATTTCAAGCCTATTTGTATCCCCTTTAATAGTAGTTTAAAAATTCTTTTGGAACCAGTTTAGTACCAAAGTGTGCAAAATTAAGCAAATAAATGTAAGTTGATCAGTTCATCCTCACATAGCTATCGCCAGGCTATTCATTTCTAATGGATTAAGCCTGTTTTAGTATTTTAAAAGTTTAAAAATCATGTTTTTATAAATTTTTAATATGTATATCCCAATAAAGTTGTGAAAATGTGGCACTCGGGACCAAGAAACCATTATGGTCTGTGATGTGCATAACCATATTTATGTGTCTGTATAACTATTTACACATGATTATTTTTCCTCCTCAAATCATATATCATTTACCACTGAATTAAGTTCTATTTTCATGCTGCTACTTCAAAGAAAAGGTAAATTAAATCTCAGAATAACAGTCACATTAAGGTCTGAATAAAATGTATGAAAGGGCTCTACTGGGCTTTGGCTTTGGCAAAAATGATTTCCTTAGCAGTATTTTAAAATGAAAATATAACTTTTAGGGCATAATCCAAATGCAAAGTAAAGTTCTCAACTGAAGTTTCAAAATAATCCCCACTGAAAGATTTCCTGCAGCCGGTCTTTGAACACCAAATTTGACTTTACATAGACGTTATTTGAATGGAAAACAATGTAGGGCTATTTTCTAAGGGACCCTTTTCAGATTGCTCCATCCAAGAGGGGAAGTGAATAAGGAAAGGAGATTTTGGAGAAAAAGGTTTTTTGCCTGGAATGTTGACCTGACATAGGAACTAGAGTGAGTCAGGAAGAATCATCCCAGTTGGATTCATGGTAAGATTCCTACCAAAATTTAGACTGTGAGTTGACATCATTGGTTCATCCTCAGGGTTAGGATTTTAATTTTCTTTTTTCAAAACCCTGAAAAGGTTTATATATCCAACATATTAAAATCACAGCTTAATGAAACTAAATGCCCAGTATTAGAGATTTCAAAACAGTATGGCATTGCATTTCAATGGGGCAGCAGCATTTTGTCACAATGGGTTAAAGAAAAGGATATTTTCTACCTGTTTTCATTTTTGCTTTTTATGTGTTTCAATGCTCTTAACTTTTTTAAACAAATTTCTCATTTTATACACTTTTTCTTGTCCAGAGATATTGACTATCTCTACGAAGAGTCTTCTGACATGTCTTAAAGTGACAAAAGGTGTTATGTGATTTAGTAGTGACTAAGTATTTTACATTCTAAACCTCAAGAGTATTCTAAATCAGTTTGAAAAGAAAATTCCAAGTGTTGAATGGAAACTAGTTTAAGTCAAGAAGGGTGAACATAGCATTATTCAAACAATATAAGATGTTATAATAAATTATTGAATTTAAGAGTCTAAAATATTAAATTTAGTTCTTTCCTATCTTGGTTACACATTCAATGTTATATTATTTACCTCAGTGCAAAAATAGTTATGCACCCAAATACCCACACATCGAGTTCAGAAAATATGCCTAAAGTGGATAGTTACGAGTATTCCTCAACTTGCCTTTTCTTGTTCAGAATATAATGCATTGTCCGTGAATTTAATTTTTATTCCAAAATATATATTTTTAAAAAAGTGTTATTTTTCAACAGATCCATAAACTTAGATCTTGGCGTATGGTAAATTAAAATACCACTGTGTTAGTTACACTGTGATGTGATATTTTAATAATTACTCATTTTTAATTTGTCTCAAAATTGCTGCACAGGTAGCAAGTTGTTATGTTTTAAAGGTGTTTTTAACTTGCCTATAAATGTTTTCTAATTTGTGTCTTTAAAATATGATTAAACAGCAGTTTAAAGAAAACCTGGAATTTGTTTTGCTAATTTCACTGATGTCTAAAAAACCTGCTAAATTGTAGAATTATTCAATGCATTGCAGCAAAGCATGTGATCTACTAAGCAAAGTAGATCTTTAAAAAAATGCTTTCTTGATCAGAAGATCACACTTCTGATACCTGAACTATTCAACACTACATTTAGACCAGCGTTTTTTAACTGTGTTCCACGGCACACTGGTGTGCCACGAGGCAGTCCAAGGTGTGCTGCGGAGATATGGTGACCATACGTCCCTTTTTTTCCCGGGACAGTCCCGGATTTAAAGACACCCAGCGCTAACACAGCGCAGCAACAACTCCCTGCCTCCACCCACCATGTAAGTGGCTCCCTGGTGCGTGGGCAGCCAGGGCTGCTTCTGGTGGCACGCAGTGTCCAGAGCTCCCATGCAGCACGTGCCGCTGTCCAGCAAGCCCCTCTCCCACTGTGTGGCCCTTCCCTCCTGCTGTGGGACTGCTTCCACCATGTGCCACCAGCCCGGCCACCTCCATCCACAGGTAGCCACCACCGCTGCAGGAGGGGGAGGGGTGCTGGTTGGAGCCGGTGAGCCACTCCTGGGAGCTGCCACCAGAGTCCCGACAGAGACCGCGCAAAGCCAGACTGGAGGACTGCAGAGTGGGGAACGTTCAATCTCTGTCAGTGCGCTCTCTGCACGGCCCTTTCTCCCCTCCGCCCCTTCCCAATCCACTCGGGGAGCAGCAGTGTACACACCTGCTCACTCTGCCACGCTCTACAAGCCAAATTTGGGAGGGGGGGCTTTCTCCCTCCCCACCCCCGTGTTCCTCCTATAGGAGCCAAAGCTGGTGCGGGGACTGGAATGTGGCAGTTACATTAGCACAGTGGGCTGCCCAGTTCCAGGCCTGGCAAGTGGTCCTGCCTTGGAAGCAGCTGGGGCCAGGGCTGCGGGGACTTCTGGGGCCCGACCGCAGACTCAGAGGGGCCCGGAGAGGACTAAGGGGAAGGAGGGTGGAAAAGGAAGGGGCTTGTGCTGAGGGGAGGGGGGCAAGACAGGAGAAAAAAGGGGAAGGCACCAAGGGACAGGGTGGAGGAGAGACAAATCCCAGGGGGTCAAATGGAGACAATGAGGAAAAGGGCAGGAGGAGGGAGGGGAGGTGTCAGTGGGGGTGTGTGTCACGTTGCTGAATTGGAGGGAAGCAGCCAGATCGCTGCTGCACCCCTAGGTGGGGGTGTTGGCCCCAGAAATTGGTGTGGGGGGAGCCATGTGGGGTATTGAATGGGAGCTTATTGTTTGTTAATCTTATGTACACTATTTATGTGAGTATATAATGTCTGTGTGTGTAGGTAGGAATCTGTAATCTGTGTGGAAGCTGAATATTTCTGTGAATGTGGTTAAGCATGGCTATGGACAGGCTGAGTAGCAAAGCCCTGTGGAACAATGACTCTCAATAGGCTATGGACACACCCAAAGAATGGGATTTGTCACCTGAGGGCAGCCAGCAGGAAACATAGAGATTGGCCTCTGACCAGGTGACTTGCTGCATACAAGAAGAGGCCAGGAAGGGAATAAAAGGGGCCATGTGGTCGAGGCCATTTTGTTCTCAGCTCAGCACTTCATCCCAGAGGCAGCACTGCAGGGATTGAAGAGCCCGGAAGACCTGTGAACCCATCCTGATCGTAGGATGTGCAATAAGAACTTTTAAACCAGCAGCTGTAACATCTCTGCTAGAGCCTGCATCGAGAACTGGGAGATTCGGTGCATGTAACGTACTGTACTTTAATAACCTTACTCTCATGCTTTTCTTTCCTGTAATAATAAACCTTTAGATATAGATTCTAAAGGATTGGCCCAGCGTGATTTGTGGGTAAGGTCCAGAGGGTAAATTGACCAGGGATCTGTGGCTGGTTTCTTGGAACCGGACAGAACTTGTTCGGGATTGGTGGGATTGGTTACTAGGACCCCCCACCTGTGTATAGGCCCGGGGCCATCTGGGGCACGGATATTGCTGGGGTGTCGGAGGGGTTTTGCTCGGGAGGCTTCAGGCAGGCTGCTGAAGCGCTCTGTGGGACTGGTTTGTGGCCTGTTTGGAGAGGTCACCAGTCAGGGGGACTGTAAAGAGCCCCGGATTTGAGCAATTCGCCCTGAGCGGACGCCCTAAGCTGTGCCCAGACACGGCCCGGTCCGTCACAGCCCCCCATAGCCGCGCGCCCAGGGGCGGGGCCCCCCCATTCTTGCTCTCCTTGCTCTGCCCCCACCACTGAATCCGTCCTCTCCTCTGTTACACTGAGGGAAGCTTATACCTAAATTTGCATCTGATTATTATTAATTAAGCCTCAGTAGAAGTTGCAGATACCACCAAACCTTATCTATCATAGGTGTTTGCTGACCCAAGAATGCCGCAGTAAATAAAAACGTTGCTCACTTTAAAGGGGCCAAACCATATATTGTAAAAGTTTTAAAGGTACAACAAGAAAGGCAGGTAAACAATAATAGTTCCCAACCCCACGAAGGAAAGAAGATAGAAAAGTACCCCACAAACACTAGGTTACACAAAATACAATAATTACACAGTCCAGTAGTTAACAGTGGGTGAGAAGCTCCTGTCTCTCAAACCTTTGGCTAATTTAAAGCCTCTGGTGAAAGACAAGAAGGAGATCCCTCGCAGCGGTGACCCTCTGTGGTGCTCTTGAACTCAAGCCTTAGGCTCCTTCCGAGCCCTTAGCGAGGAACAGAGAGGCGATCCCTCGGAGACCCTGGGGACGGGTATGGTGCAGGCAGGTAGTGATGATCCTCGTCTGGGGCCTTCTGCTCCTAGGCACAGGAATCACCGGTGGAGACTTGCCTGGCGCTGATCTTCAGGTGGCTTCTGCTCTTCAACAGGAACCGATGATAGACAGCTACCTATCCCTAATACCTGGAAACAAAACCTGACTCGACGCTCCCGTCAAATATCTAAAAGGGTGTCACAAGGAGGAAGGAGAAAATTTGTTCCTCTTGGTTACTGAGGACAGGACAAGGAGTAATGGGCTTAAAGTGCAGCAGGGGAGGTTTAGATTAGACATTAGGAAAAAATTCCTAACTGTCAGGGTGGTCAAATATTGGAATAAATTGCCAAGGGAGGTGGTAGAATCTCCCTCT